TGAGTGAGTCTGACTGGAAGAGAGCCAGAGAAGAGCGTTTTCCTGGCTGCATGACAGGTATGTGGACTGTTGTAACTGGCTGGTATAAAAATGTGAAACTCTGAACTACGATTCCCACAGTACCAACAAGATGGCGCTATCATCAGCACTGAACTTAAATCATTATAATGTTGCAATCTGGAAAAAGAAAACGTGTGTGTTTTATTTAAATGGTAGTGTCTGGACATGAAATGAACAAGCATCCAATGTCTGTTTCCTGCCTGCAGGTCGAACCATGTATGTGATTCCCTTCAGTATGGGTCCAGTCGGCTCCAGTCTGAGTAAATACGGTGTCCAGGTAAACAGTTGACAACTACTCACAGATTAAAAGTAGACTTTTACAATCATTATGACACAATCTGTAAATGTTTGTTCGACTTTCTAGGTAACAGACTCTCCGTACGTGGTGGCCAGCATGGGGATCATGACACGTATGGGAACACCGGTCCTGAACAAACTGGCCGAGGGAGTGGAATTTGTCAGCTGTCAGCACTCCCTGGGACGACCTTTGCCCCTCAAAGGTACATATCTTAAGGCTGGGAATAAGTTGCATTATGTCTTAGAAGAGGTTTTTGAAAAATATCTTGGTTTTGGTTTTTTTGGTTTTTTCCCCCCAACCCTCCTGCAGCTCCCCTGGTCAACTCTTGGCCCTGTAACCCAGACAAGGTGCTGATATCTCACCTGCCAGACACCAGGCAGATCCTGTCCTTCGGCAGTGGCTATGGAGGGAACTCTCTGTTGGGGAAAAAGTGCTTTGCGCTTCGCATTGCATCTCGTATTGCCAAGGATGAGGGATGGCTCGCAGAGCACATGTTGGTGAGAAGAGAGCATTGCACATACACCGGCCTGATGAGCAGTGACTATTTGGGGGTTTTGTCTTTTTATGTTTTTACTTACTAGTACAAGTGGTGGAACTGTAAATTTGTACTTCTTCTCCTCAGATCCTCGGTATCACCAACCCTCAGGGAGTCAAAAGATACATAGCAGCAGCCTTCCCCAGCGCCTGTGGGAAAACCAACTTAGCCATGATGAAACCATCACTGCCAGGCTGGAAGGTGGAGTGCGTGGGAGACGACATCGCCTGGATGAAGTTCGACAGTCAAGGTGAGGACGAGGTTCCCTTCTCGGCAGCAGAACGTTCCCGTGACATTCCATAAACCCAGTGTACTAAACTGGTTCTGTGACTGAAGGTAAACTAAGAGCCATCAATCCAGAGAACGGTTTCTTCGGCGTGGCTCCGGGCACATCAGACAAGACCAATCCTTACGCCATGGCCACCATCGCCAAAAACACAGTGTTCACCAACGTTGGTGAGACCAGCGACGGGGGAGTGTGGTGGGAAGGTCTCGACCCTCCTGCAGGTGGCGTCACACTGACAGACTGGCATGGCAAAACCTGGAAACAAGGTATTACCTGACAAATGCTTTTCTTTTTTCCTCCTCAGTAACAGGTTGTTGTTGTGTTTTTAAAAACAGAGTTTCTACATAAGTGGTTGTGACATTTAATCTGAAAACTACAGTGATTGTAATCATGATTCCTCTCTGTAAACAGGAAGCTCAGCTCCATGTGCTCACCCCAACTCCCGCTTCTGTGCTCCGGCTGCACAGTGTCCCATCATCGACCCACTGTGGGAGAGTGAGGAGGGCGTGCCTATAGATGCTATCATCTTCGGAGGAAGGAGACCGGAAGGTCAGCCCCACATCTAATGTTTTGGATGAAATGTGACTGCATATTGTGTATTATGTATATGAACTTGTACTTTTTTGCTGTTTTCAGGAGTCCCTCTGGTCTATGAGTCCTTCAACTGGCAGCATGGAGTCTTTGTTGGTGCTGCAATGAGGTCTGAGGCAACAGCAGCTGCTGAGCATAAAGGTACACACTCGGCACTCATCTGCTGTTTGACACTTAAGTGTGAACTGCTCCTGTTCAAGTGCTTATGGAAATTTGCTGTTTAATGATAGACATTATTGCCTATTATAATGGCTTTGGTTTTTTTATAAGGGTAACTGCGGTCAATTTATTTTTTTTATGTATTTTTATCTATATATCCGTGTACATTTAATATTCTGCATGATTACAATTTCCTTTCCATCAGGCAAAGTGATAATGCACGACCCCTTCGCCATGCGGCCGTTCTTTGGCTACAACTTTGGGGACTACCTGGCTCACTGGGTCAGTATGCAGAACAGAAAGGCTCCCACTCAACTGCCCAAGATCTTTCACGTCAACTGGTTCAGAAAAGACCCGAGCACTGGCTCGTTCCTCTGGCCAGGCTTCGGCGAGAACGCCCGTGTGCTGGAGTGGATCTTCAAGCGCTGCAGCAGGGAGAGCGAAGACCAGGCAGCCCGGAAAAGCATTATCGGCTGGCTGCCTGTAGATGGCGCCATCAACACTAAAGGGCTGAGCAGCAGCGTGGATATGGGAGCCTTGTTTGACGTTCCAAAGGCTTTCTGGCAGAAGGAGACCAAAGAGTTGAGAGCCTACTTCACTCAGCAGGTTGGAGCCGATCTGCCTGCACAAGTGGAGGCCGAGCTGAAGGCACTAGAGGACAGAGTGCACCAGTAAAAACCTCAGGGACAATACATACCAGGTGTTTGTCCCTAATGACGCAGGATGACATCATTATGGTGCATTCAGAGTCACTGCTAGGGTTTATATACACAGAGAAGGAGGTTCATGACCTGGCAAATACAATATTGATTTGGTGTTTTCAACAGACATGAGTGGGTTTGGACAATTTTTAACTGTTTGCAAAAGACATTGACTGAAATATCTAAATAGTATGACGTCGGCTCAAAAAGATTTACTTTACTTTTTAGGAGCCTTGTTTTTTGTACTGGATAATTCTTCTTTTTTATACATTCCAAAAAAAGTAAATATTTAAATTTAAAGCCGAATCGTTGGCTGTTTATGAGAATATTGACTTCATTTTTAATAGATGTATTTAGAAATATAAATTCCTGACTTAAAGTCTTTTCTCAGACTCAGAATCCTTCTTCTGGTTTTGGAATACTAATATAGTTGGACACAAGAACACATTCTCTGTGTATACAAACCCAGTCAGTAGTTCCTGCCATTAGGAGAAATTAGTTAGGAATTAAACAATAGAAATGAAAACAGGAGGAGAAGCTAATGTACAGTGTGAATGCCCACATGTTGGACCACACAACATGTAAACGCTGCATCACTGACAGACTGGTGCTAGTAGGTTGGCGGTGGCAGGGAGGTGCGGGTTAGACTCCTGAAGGTTAGAGAAGCCAGCATCACTACCTCCATTCACTTCCAATACCTGTCAATGAACTAGAGCATAATCACTGTGGCCTAGTCCTGCCTTATGGGATGTTTCACCAGACATCCAGGCTGCTAATGTTTACAGGCTAAAAGCACATAAAAGCTAGCAATCTGATAAGAAGAGAGCCTTTAACATTTGGTTTTTAACCTGTCTGAAGGTTCAAAGTGCCCAGGTTTTTTTTTTATTAATCTGAATATTAGGGGAACATATCAGAAGTGTATGAAATACTCAGGATTACTATGCATTATTATTCTGAATACTTTTGTATTGTTTGTGATTAAGCTGTGTAATTGCAGGGAGGATTTTTCTACACCAAAAACACACATTCTCACACGCTGGACCAAAGAGTAGAACACAAAGTATTAAGTCTTTGAAGAAGGTGGATTTTAGCTGATTTTATTACAGTGCAATGAATAAACGTTTTACCACACGTAAACAAGGCTTTTTGTTATTTTTGACTCATTTTAATTGGAATAAACCTCTCCTGCCTACCATCAGGGGGAGCCAAAAATACCATCTACAATTTTTCTACAGTTTATAATAGTTTTATGCAGTTTTTATGGACCCGGAGCAGTGAGAGACTCAGACTGGTCTCATTTGGCCAAAGCAACATTTATTGATACGTTCAACATAATAAATATAAACTGACAAATACACAAAGGCAAAAAATTAATTAACGTCTTTCTCTGCGTCCTCTAAGTGAACCACATGCTTCTCCGCCTTGAGCAGTCGCACTCCTGGAGGAAGGAAACAAAACTAGTGAAACTTAGTCAAATAAATGACATGTTTATCAAAGATTATGTACAGTCTTATATTTGTTCTGTCGCACCAGAAAGGAGCCCGCCCCCGCTTTTGGAACCACTGCTGAAGCGTAATATGTGATAATTTGATTTAAGGATTAACTGGACTTGCATCTTCCAATCCATTTTAATTTTATTTAGCGCATTAACTTCACTGATGTAGGATTAATAAAGTTTAATCTTAACATTAACACTTCTCTACCTAAATGACAAATAGTCAAGGTTAGTATACTAGTCAACTACTACTAGCACTACTATAAAGTACCTTCCTCTTTTCCTCAAACACCAGATGGCAAAAAAATAACCTAATTCTACTCTAAACTTTAGACATGTAACTTTGCCCTTTAATTTATATCAAAGTCTAAAACCAAATAAGGGGTTGAAACATTTGAAGACAGATAATAAAATGTGAGATCTGCAGCTCTACGGCCCGTGTGCTCTGTGACCTGGTAAATGTGGAGGGCAGTTCAGAACGGGCGTGTCCTTCCGACGGGGTTTCTTCTGCTGGTCATCCTCCTGGTCTCCTGCGCAGAGAGCCTCCTTCTCGTCTTTGTCTTTATTACCCTTCATTGTCGCTGTCTCTCTGCTCACTGAGTCGTCTGTGGCCCCCTGGTCTGTCAGACACAGAGACAAACTTCAGAGAAATAATCTACCTGAGGTGATGAAGACCTCTATACCTGAGTGGCAAAAAGGCCCAACCCACCCCCGATTTGCCTACTTCAGAATGTGGTGTACAGGGGCCACAGATAATAAAAAAAAAGAAATCGGAGAGCTGTTTTAAATATAGGAAACGATGAGAATAAAGCCCTTGTCCTTGTAAAATAAAACAAAAGTCTGATTTACATCACCTCGGGTTATTCTCAATGTGTGTGTCAGAATACCTCATTACAGTATCTGTCTTTCAGAATCTGTCATTTTATTTACATGTATTTTCAATCCGCCTTGACGACCAATCTGTGACCATAATGTCGTACATTAAACCAGAATTTGGCACAGAAACGTTTGGAACCTCTTTTAGAGATAATACTACATCTCCATTCACTCCATCCTAGCAGGTCTTTTGTATCTAAAGACTTTAGTGAAAAATCACACAAATTACACACAACATGGCAGTTTTAACCACAATAGCCTTGACGTTTCTTTGTCAATATATAAATACACTGTGTTATTGAGCTATGTTTACCTAGAGGATATTTGGAAATTAAATGTAAAATATATATATATTCATGTATATATTTTCTTGATCAAAAACATCAAGCTCATTGTATGTTCTCACAGTGTCTGCTGTCTTGCGTCATTAGTCGATGCTCAGGCTCCAGGGTTGACCTCATGCAGCTAGTCGTCATCTCTGAGGTCCTCTGGGCTTTCTGAACAGATCACATAACACACACACACACACACACACACACACACGAAGCATTGACCTGTAGTAGTTGCTGTAGAAAGACAGGCTATACCTTATACATACCATTAAAACAAAAATGAAAAAAAAAAACGTAACTTTACATTTTGGCGATTTTCTGTGTCCTCATCAGGTATTCTAGAACACGTCACATGCTCACATTTACCACACAGACAAATGGAATTACAGTTGTAATTCATTATTCATAGGTGGATCTCATCACAAAGGAAAAACCCCAGTATTTGATTGTGTGTGGATGAGTGTGTGTGAGCCTCACTTTTCGCTACACTATTCAATTGAGAGACTTCAACCACCAGCTCATTCAAAAATGTTTTACTTTGCCTGATTTGACATTTTTATACACATAACATTGGTTTTGTAATGTTGTTTATATTAATACAATAATTTAATTGTCAGCCATGAATGACAGCTGACACAATATGAGGGACACATACACAGATCTATCTATCTATCTTTCTCTCTATCTATCTATCTATCTATCTATCTATCTTTCTATTCATCTATCTATCCATCTATCTATCTATCTATCTATCTATCAGACCTTCTGTCGGTCTGTCCGTCTGTCTGTCTCTAAGACAAACTAAGACAAAGCCAACAAACAATCCAGTGTGTTCTGGTCTTACCTCAGTCTCAGCAGTTGGACCCAGGCAGACTGGAGCAGTGTGACTCTGGGTTATGAAGGTTAGTAAGGCTGGAGGCGGAGCATCCTCTCTTGGATCATCAGCATCCATTATCTGTCACAGAGCCACCACCCACCACCTCCTTCTCCCCCTTTACATCCTTTTTAACCCCCAAGCCCCCCTTACTCTCTCTTTCTCTCTCTCTCTCTCTCTCTATATATATATATATATGCATATATATATGTATATATATATATA